TGACTCGTGAGACCTATGTAACCTAGGCTCTGATACCAACTTGTGACGACCCAAAATCTAACATTGGTCGTGATGGGCCTATCGTGTTACAAGCAAGCCTCTTTCCCAAAATATTACTACTAAATTGATTATTAGAATTTAATAAAAACATTTCCAATAATTTAATTCCTGATAAACTAACCAACTCTAAATATAAATAATATAAAATACGGAAACGAGTCCCAAACATCGGTGTGTCACTAATCATGAGCGTCTAAAACATGAATTAAGATATATAACTATCTAACTGTCAAAGAAGAAATGATAAAAGGAGTAACAAGGTCCTGCGGACGTGGCAGCTACCTTGCAGTTCCAATTAAAGCCGGCCTGAACTCAACGATCGCCGCGCTCTAACTCACTTGGATCTGCACATAAAGTGCAGGGTGTAGTATGAGTACAACCACCTCTAGTAACAGAAATAACTAAGGAACTGAGCAGTAGTGACGAGCTGAGCAAAACAGTCCAATTATTTATTTTTCACAATTTTAAAAAATAACAGGAATAAACAGGTAAATTCCATAACTCAGTAAATGCAACAAAGAAATTTAACAGATAAATACAGTAACAGCAAAAGTAAATGCAACCTCAAAGCAATGTCACTCCATCACTCAGCACTCGCACTCAGCACTCAATACTCAACACTCATTACACTCAAAACTCTGCGCTCACTAGGGGTGTGTACAGACTCCGGAGGGGCTCCCAAAACCCAAGCGCTAAGCACGGACAACTCACGTGCTACCATATCAATACCTGGATCCGCACGGTCAACTCACGTGCTACGCGGACAACTCACGCGCTATGGTATTAATATCCTCACAACCAGGCCCTCGGCCTCACTCAGTCATGTACCTCACTAGCCTCACCATCATCGACAAATAAGGGACAACAGCCCACATCAAGTATCACAGCATATTAGCAAATAATAGAGACTGAGGTAACATGTTTCTAAATAATATACTATGACTGAGTACAATAATGTGAGCATAGAATAAAACCTAAACAGGATCTCTAAACATGAAGGCAAACAAGTTCAACAACAAGTAAACACATAACCACAGATAATAGCTTTTAGGCCTGGCCTCACGGGACGGAGCAAGTCTCAATCCCTTGCGGTGCACACCCACACGCCCGTCACCTAGCATGGGTATCACTACCAAACAATCACATGATATCAATTTCTCCTGGTTTATACCCTCAAAACCAGAGTTAAAACTGTTACTTACCTCAACAGCGTAAAATCCTACTCCGAAATGTCCTCGTCCCTCGACTCGGTCTCCAAAAGTTTCGAATCTAACCATAATAAGAATACATAGTCTAAAGAATCAAATTACACAATAAAAACTACATAAACACGCCAAAAATTCGAAATCGGCCAAAACTCGGCCCCGGGCCCACGTCTCAGAATCAGTCAAAAATGACAGAATAATAATCCTCGTCCTCTCCCGAGTCTAACCATATAAAATTTATCAAAATCGGACTCCGTTTGGTCCCTCAAATCCTTACTTAAAACTCTCCAAAACTCAAACCCTAACTCCCTCAAATTCACTTTGAAATCATCAATCAAATCCCAAAAACAAAGATGGATTCATAAATTATAATCAAAATCGAGTAGAGAACACTTACCCAATTCATATGGTGAAAATCGCCTCCAAAATCTCCCAAATCCGAGCTCCCCAACTCAAAATATGACTGAATGAACAAACCCTAGTTTTGTATATTTTTCTGCCAGCTATTCTACCTCGTTTCTCATGCCAAACGATCCCAAAACTCGTGGTCTATGTCTCCAATGGATTCCTTGTGAAATTCTAGTCAAGTTAGGCTTTTGAATCACTCAATTTGACCTTATGACGAAGGAGATATGTAGGTTTTAATATTTGCAAATAGTGCAGATTTTTAAATACGCCGTCAGTGGCAATTTCGTAATTAATCTGAAAAAATCTGGCAACCTAATTCTTAGTAAAATGACCAAAAAATCCTCATACGATGTCCAAATTCGACGATTCTTTTTACTACGGGTCTGTAATCACGATACGGATCTAATGCTTCAATCAAAAAAGAAATCGAAGCTCATTTGTTCAATACGATATCATTTATGCTTGAAGAAACAACGTCGAAACGTAAGAAAAACGAGCGCAACACAGCCCAAACCTATTCAAAACTCACCCGAGGCCCTCGGGACCCCAACCAATAATTCCAACAAGTCATATATCCCTACCCAAACTTAGTCGAACCTTCGGAACACCCAAAACAACACCAAAACACCAAATCAACCTCGAATTCAAGCCTAAGAACTTCTAAACTTCTAACTTTTGCCAATTCAAGCCTTATTCTACCACGGACCTCCAAATTATATTCCGGACACACTCCTAAGTCTAAAATCACCCAACGAAGCTAGTCGAATCATAAAAATCCAAATCCGAATTCGTTTACTCATAAGTCAACTTCCGGTTAACTTTTCTAACTTAGCTTTCTAACTAAGAGACTAAGTGTTCATTTCACTCCAAAACTACTCTGAACCCAAACCTACCAACTTGATACAACTCAACACAGCTGAACAACACACAAAGAAGCATAAATAGGGGAAACGGGGCTATAACTCTCAGAGCGAACGACCGGGTCGTTATAGGTTCAAAGGTAACAATCCTTGAAAAATGATAGGATCTAATGCTCATAATGAGGAGGAAATGAGCTCTAGAAGATCCCACGACATAACATTTCATGAAACTCCAAAAGAAGTTCATGTACCTGAAAATAAAGAAAGTGATGAGAATTCAACAAGTTATGTCGCTTAGAAACCGATACAAAATGATCGTCGACGATATATTTGATACAATATAGTGCACAATATTGTAAAAGATTGTGAGGATCATACCTGTAGTCCAGACACCTGAAGATGTCATGCCATTTAAATGGAAGGCATAACCTATATGACTCATTTGATTAAATCTATATGAAGATCCATGAACGATTTAAGATGCTTGAAGCATATAATTCAAAGTCTCGAGAAATGTGCTCGATCAAATTACGAAGATCTTTGTACGGTTTAAAGTAATCTGGGCATGTGGTATAATCGCCTCAGTGAATATTTGCTGAAAGAAGATTACATAAATGATGTTATTTTTCCATTTATTTTTATAAAGAAAGTATCATAAGAATTTGTTATACTTATTATTTATGTTGATGACATAAATCTTGTTGGAACTCCAGAAGAGCTCCAAAAAGGCAACTGAATATCTTAAGAAAGAATTTGAGATGAAAGATCTTGGAAAATTAAAACTTTATCTTGGTCTGCAAATTGAATATTTAGCAGACGGGATCTTTATCCATCAATCTGCCTATACAGAAAGGGTCTTTAAACGTTTTTATATGGACAAAGCGCACCCATTAAGTACACCAATGGATGTTCTGTTGATACCCAATTTTTTCCTGTATTTTTTAATATGCAAAATACCTTCAAAATAGCATGTATATGCACATATAAGTACGTCCCAAAGTTTTATTGTTTTTCCTAATTTTTAAAAAAAAATTTAAATCAATTTATTGCCTTATTTTATCAAGAAAAACCCAGTAATTATTCCCAAATTTATCATTTTGGTAATTCAATTTGATTCTCATATTTACACTAAAATATAGCTAACATAATTTTTGCGCATTTTTTACAAATTTATTTAGTATTTTAAAAGCTAATTGCGTATAATTGTAATATTAGCCTCTTTTAAGGTTTAATTTTGTTTATAATTATAAAATTGACTCCAGTATTTTTAATTTTATAATTACGTATTATTAATCATTTCAGTACCTTTAATTTATTTTCAGATCAGCTCTTTTACGCGTTCTTTTCCAAGTGAGCTTAATTTCTCCCATTCTTTACTTCATTTTCTTATCCTTTTTGTGGCATTTAATTTCTCTTGCATATGCTTTGTTCTTTACAGTGTTGAATTTCAAATTTCCCCCTCTTTGTTTGGCATAATCGCAATTTTCCTTATCTCTTTCCGTGAAAATTTTCACAATTTTACCTATTTTTCATATACCTTTTCAATTTTTGGATCTGTAGGCTATTTAGATATTAATTAGTGGTAATTAGGGTTTCCTATTCTAGATTAAAATATTTGTTTTTTAATTACCATTTAAGGTACTTCAGGCTTGTGGGTGTAGTTCTCTGCTTTATCCCTACATTTCCCCCACTACTGTCAGGGCTACACCAGTGGTAGCGGTGACAACCCTTGTTGGTTTTTGGGTCGTGCTATTTTCTGTGTTTTCAGGGAACTTCTCAAAGTTGTTGGAGACAAGTTGGGCGCACGAGCACCAGCAAAGGAGAGCAACCTGGACGAGCGTCAGCAAAGGGCGGTGGGAAGCGGTGCGTGAGCGTACAACTACATCGAGTACAGCAAATCAACACATGTTTGGTTCTCGGGAGTTGGTACCTACCGTTCTACTGTTTCCCTTTTGGTGTTAGCTAAATTGATGTTACTTTAGTTCACAATAGTTCAATCATTCAACTAGTGTACTTGTAGTCACTTGTTTCCTTCTAGTTTGATTCGCAGTCCGTTGTGCACTAGTGAGTCTTCTTTAGATTTGTCGTAGGTGTAGTGGCTGCAGTCTGGGATGATAGATTAAGGGCATGTCCTCGGGTGGGGCAGAGTGTGGGGCCGGGGTCAGGGTGTGGTACGGGAGGCAGGGGAGGTAGAGGGGGCAAGGGAGCCTATAGGTTGAGAATCGAGTCATGGAACATAGGTTCGCTGACGAGTAAGTCTATAGGGTTGGCGAAGATCCTTCACAAGAGGAAAATTAATATAGCGTGTGTCCAGGAGACTAGGTGGGTCGGATCGAGGGCGAGAAACGCGGATGGGTATAAGTTGTGGTACTCTGGAGTCCTGAGGGGTAAGAATAGAGTGGGTATCCTGGTAGATAGCCATCTTAGAGAGTCGGTGGTAGAGGTCAGGCGGGTGAATGATTGACTAATGACTATTAAATTGGTGGTGGGTGAGTGTACTTTAAATGTCGTTAGCGCGTACGTGCCGCAAGTAGGCTTGGATGAGGAGATTAAAAGGCGCTTTTGGGAGGGGTTGGATGACATCGTTCGTAGTATTCCGCCTTCCGAGAGGTTATTCATAGGAGGTGACTTAAATGGTCATATTGGGTCGTCTGCAGGTGGTTATACTGAGGTGCATGGCGGCTTTGGTTTCGGGGAGCGGAACGGAGGGGGCACTTCGCTGTTGGACTTTGCCAAGGCATTCGATCTAGTGATTGCGAACTCAAGTTTTCCGAAGCGGGAGGAGCATTTGGTTACTTACCGAAGCTCGGTGGCGAAGACTCAGATTGACTATCTCCTTCTCAGGAGATGCGATAGAAGGTTGTGCGAGGGTTGCAAAGTTATCCCAGGTGAGACCCTTGCAACGCAACATAGGCTTTTGGTGATGGACATTGGTATTATAATAAGGAGGAAGAAGAGGTCAATACGAGGCCGCCCGAGGATTAGGTGGGGCGCCTTGACTAAGGATAAAGCTCAGGAGTTGGAAGGAAGGTTATTGGCAATGGGAGCTTGGAGAAGTAGTGGGGACGCAAACACTATGTGGTCGACGACGGCGGACTGTATAAGGAAGGCGGCGAGAGAGGTGTTAGGGATATCTTCGGGCCGCGCCGGTGGCCACAAAGGAGACTGGTGGTAGAATGCAGTTGTCCAAGGTAAAGTGGAAGCGAAGAAGGCGGCTTACCTGCGGTTAGTAGGGAGCACTAGCGAGGAGGAGAAGAGAGCGAACAGTGAGATATATAAGGTAGCTAGGAAGGAGGCGAAGATGGCAGTAACGGAGGCTAAGACGGCAGCTTTTGCTCGTCTGTATGAGGAACTAGGGAACAATGGCGGGGAAAAGAAGTTATTCCGACTCGCCAAGGTGAGAGAGAGGACGGCTCGGGATCTGGACCAAGTGAGGTGCATAAAAGATGAGGACGGCATTTTGATGGGGGATGACCAGATTAAGAGGAGATGGCAAACCTACTTTCATAAACTTCTAAATGAAGAAGGGGATCAGGATATTGTACTAGGTGAATTGAGGAATGCTGACAACCCCCATGAATTAAGTTATTGTAGGGACATTGAGGTCGATGAGGTCATGGAGGCAATGCGTAAAATGAGGAGGGGCAGAGCTACCGGGCCAGACGAGATTCCGGTTGAACTTTGGAGGTGTGTGGGTAGAGCAGGCTTGGAATGGCTTACTGGGTTGTTTAATATTATATTCAAGACTAATAGGATGCCTGAAGAGTGGAGGCGGAGTACAATGGTTCCGTTGTATAAGAACAAAGGTGATATCCAGAGCTGTAACAACTATAGGGGTATCAAATTACTGAGTCATACCATGAAAGTCTGGGAGAGAGTGGTAGAGATCAGAGTGCGAAGGACGGTGTCTATTTCAGACAACTAATTAGGGTTCATGCCGGGGCAATCTACCACAGAAGCTATCCACCTTATTAGGAGGATGGTGGAACAATATAGGGATAAGAAGAAGGATCTCCACATGGTGTTTATCGATCAAGAGAAAGCGTACGACAGGGTTCCTAGGGAGGTCTTATGGAGCTGCTTAGAGGTTAAAGGGGTCCCGGTTGCCTACATTAGGGTGATTAAAGACATGTATGATGGAGCTAAGACTCGGGTTAGGACAGTAGGTGGCGACTCCGAGCATTTTCCGGTTGCACCAAGGGTCTGCGTTCAGCCCTTTCCTATTTGCCCTAGTGATGGATGCCATAACGCATCATATTCAAGGGGAGGTGCCATGGTGCATGCTATTTGCTGATGACATAGTCCTAATTGACGAGACACGATGCGGCGTCAATGAGAGGCTAGAGGTTTGGAGACATGCCCTTGAGTCTAAAGGTTTCAGGTTGAGCAGGACGAAGACGGAATACCTCGAGTGCAAATTTGGAGCCGAGCCAACGGAAGCGGTAGTGGAAGTGAGGCTTGACTCTCAAGTCATCCCTAAGAGGGGTAGTTTCAAGTACCTTGGGTCAGTTATTCAGGGGATCGGGGAGATCGACGAGGATGTCACACACCGTATAGGGGTGGGGTGGATGAAGTGGAGGTTAGCGACGGGAGTCCTGTGTGACAAGAAAGTGCCACCGTTACTAAAAGGTAAGTTTTATAGAGCAGTGGTTAGGCCTGCCATGTTGTATGGGACCGAGTGTTGGCCGGTTAAGAGCTCACACATCCAGAAGATGAAAGTAGCAGAGATGAGGATGTTGAGGTGGATGTGCGGGCATACAAGGATGGATAAGATTAGGAATGGAGATATTCGAGAGAAGGTGGGAGTGGCCCCCATGGAGGACAAGATGCGGGAAGCAAGACTCAGATGGTTCGGGCACATTCAGAGGAGGAGCACTGATGCACCGGTGAGAAGGTGTGAGCGACTGGCGGTGGTGAGCACGAGGAGAGGTAGAGGGAGACTTAAGAAGTATTGGGGAGAGGTAATCAGGCAGGACATGGCGCGACTTAGGATTACTGAGGACATGGCCCTTGACAGGGAATTGTGGAGGTCGAGCATTAAAGTTGTAGGTTAGGGGGAAGTTGTGGATATTTCTACAGCGCACTAGAGTGAGACTAGCCAGTTAGGAGTTAATCTTAGGATGCTACTGATCAGCTACTGATGCAGGGCTTTATCTGTTGGATATTAGTATGCCTCCCATCTTTTTCGTATTCCCTATATTTCTTATATTGATGTTATTTTGTTATTTTATGGTATGGTATGTATTTTATGTTATTTTAGTATGAGTCTATTGATAGTACTAATATATCGTCTCTTGTTGCTTTCTTGAGCCGAGGGTCTCCTGGAAACAGCCTCCCTGCCCCTCGGGGTAGGGGTAAGGTCTGCGTACATATTACCCTCCCCAGACCCTACTTGTGGATTATACTGGGTTGTTGTTGTAATTTATTTTCAGAAATTATTCTACTATTTTTATAAAATAAACAAGGAAAAAATGGCTATTTAAATATTAGCCCATTTTCATTTCAATTTTTAGCCTGATTTGGCACCCCAATCAGACCCAATCCTAAAACCCAATTATCCAACCCAAATCCTAATCTACCTAACCCACGACCCTTTTAAAATAACCCGCCCGGATCCCCATTCACCATTCAATCCAGGCCGTTGATCAAACGGCCACCATTTAACCTTTTCTTTTTAATTCCCCACTAGTATTAGTCCCCGCGCGGATGCGCGGACACTAATCATGTCAAATATTTAAGTTATTTGGATTGCATGTAAATAATCTTAAATACTTTCTCAGTAAATATAGATAATCATTGGATATTAACTACATGAAAAAAATTAACCATTTCTTCTATTTTTTTTTTAATACCATTCTTGCCAGTGTCATTGGATCCTTAAAATAGTTAGGGAGCAAAATAATAACTCATATTTATGGCAAAACAATCAAATATTGAGACAATGAATGACTCTTTGGATAATACTTAACTCTTTTACTACTACTTGAACTCTTATTTGGTGTGTTGATATCTCTTAAAAAATATTTCTTTCTTAAAATTTCAGTTTCTAAAATATTATTTTTCAATAATAATTATTTTTATAATAATGTCATTGAAAATATTTTAGTTGGCTATCTAAAAATATAAAAAAATTCTTTAGTTATTGAATTTTTTTTACTCCATTTTGATATTTGACATTAACCATGTTAAATATCTGAGTTATTTGAATTATATGTAGATAACCTTAACATTTAAACCTTCTAAATAATTATAGATACGTCAGATATTAATTAAGAAATACTACATGAAAAAAGACTAACATCTTCTTAAATTTCGTAGTGATAATTTTTTTTTGCACTATTCTCATAGGTGTCATTGGAACCTAAAAAAAGCCACAAAGTGAAATAATAACTCATATTTAGTGCAAAGCACAAAGGTTGACACGATATAAACGATTATTTGATTACGACGTGACTCTTATACTACAACTTGAGCTGTTATTTGGTATGATTTTATCTTTCAAAAAATATTTCTATTTTGAAATTTCAATTTCTAAAACTTTGTATATATTATAATAATGATGATATTTATAATGATGCAAGTGAAGATGTTATCCTTAATTTAAAATTCACTTTAATCGGCTATCTAAATATATAAATAATTCTTTGGCCGGATTTATTTCAGTATGACTCCACTTTAAGTTTATCGATATCTCTAGCTCCAGAATATAAATTTTTAATACCCTATATATACAAAAAATTTGTTCTTTTAATCATTAAATATTAAATTAGTTGATTATTATTATAAAACATTGCATATATTGTCACGACCCAAATCCACTAAGGGTCGTGGTGGCGCCGGACATCGCTGTCAGGCCAGCCAATCAAACTACTTAATCAAATTCTCATTTAAATATTTCCGGAAACACTTCTTTTATACATTTAAAACAATACATAGTATGTTCCTCCGAATAAATAATAAAATATTTAAAAACCTTTAAAATTAATGAATAAACCCAAATACATCCCAAAACCCGGTGTCACAAGTACATGAGCAATTACTAAGGAATCGAATAAAGTACAATAACTGTCCGGAGTACAAGTGGACAGAAATGGAAATACCACACAATACTCTGAAGGAGACTCTGCTGACTGTGATCGTCTCGATAAATGCAACTCACCTAAGTCTCCGTATTAACCATGTCGCTATGCCACTAAGCCGCTAGCCACATAAGAACCTGTGCAACAAAAATGCACAGAAGTGTAGTATGAGTACGAAAACAACGTGTACCTAATGAGTATCCCGTCTAATCTCGAAGAAGTAGAGACGAGATGGTCGACTTCGACACTTACTAGTGGTCCAATAATGATATATTATTAAGGGGAATAATCAAGGATTTATTAAGAATGACAGTAATTTCAAGTAAGTCATGAACAGGTGAAAGTTCCTTTTATATTAAAAGTCTCAAGGTTCATAATCCAATAGTTTCCAATTATCTCAAGTCGGGGAGAGAAAATATCAATATCAAGTAATCTCAAGGCAAGCAATACAAGCATGCGCAAATAATGCCGAAGACGTACGGCCCGCTCCAACAGAAAATAAATTGTGCACTGCCGAGGCTCGAACGACGCGAACCATAGATGCATCTATTACCCCGCTCGCGAACTATCTTGCAACGCGGTCAACATAAAATAAACAAATACCCTGCTCGCGAATCATACATGCGACGCAGGTACACATAGGGATACATGCTCAAATAGCAAATTAAGAATTTATCGGGGAACATTTATCCAAATAAAAGCAAATCCTCTTTTAACAATTTAAGAAAATGAAGTTTAATCCTTTTAGCAATTCATTTACTAATTCATTGTAACTTAAGCAATTCAAACTGTCAACAAGTTTACAATTAATCCAAGTATAGCATGCTTTTGGGTCCTAGATTACCCGAACAATAGCATAATAGTAGCTACGCACGGACTCTCGTCACCTCGTGCGTACGTAGCCCCCACAAATAGGAGCACATAACCAATTAATTCACCTATGGGGACAATTCCCTCTTACAAGGTTAGAAAGGAGACTCACCTCGCTCCGAACATCCATAACCGGCATTCCACGCTCCTCCGAAGACTTAAATCGACGCACAATGCTCCAAAACTAGCCAAGGATTATGCAAATCCATTAATATATGCTCAATTA